TCATAAACTCGTCAAACAAGGAAACAGTTAAATAGCATAATCAAATAGTGTCAGCTGTTGGTTTGTCACTTCACGGTTGGATTCATATCGAAAGTGAAACGTAATACCAAGTAATACTCTACGTGATCGCAAAGATACATTTGTCGACGATTTCAAAAAAGGAAGATAAAGAAAATAGTTATTGAACGATGTAATTTTTTTTGCCACAAAATTTAATTGCATTGGATTCTAAATTTAATTTTTGAAATCCCTTCCTATTATAAAAATGTTTGTCATTGTTTTATTTAAAATATTCTATTATTTCGAAGACAAGGAAGTTGACTAAATATACGCATGTCTCTTGAATTTGATGGGTGACCGTGGAACGTTCGAGAAACATTCGAATGCGCAATAGCGCACCGCGCGGAAGACTTTTAAGGCACAGTGAAAGTTACCACGCGAATGTAGGCGGGCCGGGCATTAATTCAGCGAATAAAATTTTGTAATAAGTTTCGTAATTTTTAGACGACCACGGACTTTGTGCTTTTGAAAGGATTAACACATCCTTTGTTTTAATCCTGTTTGAAAGTCAACTAAACCTTAGATTACAAATAATCTGCTATAATGCACTTGCATCTATGGCAATCTGAAAGACGAAATGCTTTTTAACTGGCAAATCCACATTTTAAATACATCATTATTTTAAATAATCATATCAATTAATTTTTCATTATAGTTTTAAAGAAATACTGGTTAAATAACACAAAAATACATCTTAAGGAAAAGTCTAAGTAGTGTAATAATTTCCCGCTAATCTATTATTTACTTATTGTGAAAAAGGAAAGAAGTTTACATAATAACATTATGTAGACAAAAAAGTTTGGTTCACTTCTCTAAGAAAGGCGTGACGCCATGTCGTATCAACGATATCAATCCCATAAAATGTATTTCATATTTACAAAAAACTTGGTTGATTAAGCAATTCTCTGAGGCAAATCATTTGAATTAACATCTTGATTTGAATACCTTTATTAACTTGTTCTCAAGGTTGATTGCATGTTCTAAACAGGATTCATTTACAGTAGCAATGCATTAATTAGCGCCTTTTGTTTCCTTTTCACTGTTGTAACTTTGACAAATCAAAGTCAAGATGAGGTTTCTTTAAGTAGATGATTTATACGTAATTTATTTGCCGTATTGAACGAGCTCAAAATAATAGGATGACCAAAAAATTATTATATTTTCCGTGCTTCGAAAACCACGTTAAGCTATTGGTGACTGCTGCATCTATAGCTGTCAACACTTGCTTGGTGCCTATTCTCACTATTCTTATTCGCTTGCATTCATAGGGCAGGTATTTATAGAATAAGCCAACATAGATGCCCCTAAATTGGTTGTGATCTCGAAGGTTTTATTTATAGATTCCTTTGCCCAGTAATAAGCGATTTATAACTGATTATCTCGTTGTTTATGGAAAGACTTTTTACAGCAAAAATGGTAATTATATTGATTATAATATTGAATGTAAACAGTCTCATTGTTTTGAAGGTAAGCATTTAATTGTTTTAAATAAGCAGGCAATGAGAGGAAGAAATTTTGCATAATAAATAATGAGACAAAGTAAGGTTAAGAGAAAAGTTGAGAAATGTATGTATGTAAAAAGTATGAAACAATAACCGCAACATCGTTAAATAATAAAAAAAAAAATTGATAAAAAGAATTGTTAACAATGTTAAAGATATTGAAATAATGATTTAAAAAAAAAAACTAAATTGAGTTTGCATCTCGCAAGTTGTGGGAATGGAATAAATAATTTTTTATAAGTGCAGAATTTCAAAAAGCATATGTTTAGTGATATAAGTAGTTTCATTATGGTGGGTAAACTAGAAGTGAACTATTAGAAGATAAATATTTTTGGACGTTTTCATTTTAGGTAATATTACACTGTAAGGTTTCACGATACTCTGTTAAAATACAATACTCATGGTTACGTTAAAATATAAAATTCCGTAATATTGATGTTTTACTTGAAATAATTAATAAAAGACACTTTCTTCGGGTACTTTGTAAATATTTTCATAGAATAGTATGGTTGGTTCCACTAAATAGTTCAAAACATATTAAGACGATTCGATTAGTCATTATATAAAGTCTGTGAATGCCAAAATATAGGAAAAAAAATAAGTAATGTAGGTATATAACTATAAAATATATAGGATACAAAAAATTTACTAATATTGTGAAGACGAAAAATGTTAATTGGTTTTATTACACTATAACAGAGATAATTTATACTAATTAGAAGTATAATAAAATATAGCCGTGACCGATAAAATCGTCGATCGTCGAATTCAATGTCAATGTAAAAGGTTACACAAAAAGATTGACAGACGATTACGAATGAAGAATCAATTGAATTTGTAAAAAAGTGAAGCAAAAAATCTAACTTGCAGATTTGCTATGAATGGAACTAAGTAATAATACACATATTTTTAATTTAATGTCCATTTTGACTAACCTAAAACTAGATATAGCTTCACTAATATTACGAATCGCCATATAAAATAATATAGAAAAAAATAAATTAACCATCAATATATCCCTTTAAAAGTAATGCGAATACATAGAAAAAGTGTGATTTTTTGTTTACAAAGACTCGAAATGATATGCAGAGGTGACTTGCCAGAAAGTAACGTTAACACCTTTTACCAATAGGTTGATTTGTATGATATTGAAATTAATTTGTTTCATGTCTTGCGTACCTGCTGTAAACAAAAAAAGTAAGAGCTAATGGGAAAATAAAATAATGAAACAGAAAACACCTTTTGAGGAATTTCGGCATAACACATCCGTGGAAAATTGACACAACAAAGGGATTTTAGCAAATTCTAATGTCACACTTTAACACATTCGCCGGATGCATTTCAACACAATTTAGCAACAGCGTACACTATGACCGTGTAGAATGAGTCACTTTGGACTTCATTCAACCTTGGACTAGTTACGTTAAGGAGTTTTAGCGACAAAACACTTATTTTGTTAGTACATCTTATACATTCTTGTATTCAGTCGATGTAATTGTCGGTTTCAACAATTTGCTTACATCCTTCTAATTTGATTTTGCGAAAGGAAGTTATGTTAAAGGTTTGATCATCTTATTCCTTAATTGTGTAAATGGTATTTATTTATTGATACTCGATTTACGAAAATTGCCCAAATATTGGCAGATTAATTTATATTTTTTGTTATCTATATGAATAATAAGAAATTAGATATGTCTTTAAAACTTTTTAGTCCCAAATTTACTTTATAATCATCACAAACATTAGTTCTACTTTTACGAAATTATGCTCTTAGGGCATACTGTAGTTGGCTGGTATAGTAACACTTTATAATTGCATAATAAAAGTATGCTAAAAACTTAAAACATCAAGTAAAAAATGATGTTAAAGTATGAAACTGCGTTTAGAAAGTTACTAAATAATTGTTATTGAATTGTGAAGAAACTTCAATCTATGCTTTTTGCAGTTGAAAGTCTGAAAAGTAGATTTTAACTACCATAAAAAATATAATGTAGTTTCTTGTATTTAAAAAGTGTTTTAACGTCACACAGAAACGTTAAAACAGTTCTTAAATATGAATTGTAGACATCGATATTTCAAAAATCAAAAATCGATATTTCAATATATAATCGCATCATCTGTTTTTCTCTAGAAACGTAGGATGAATGACGAATGACATTTATGAATATTTCATTAATTAAAAATCATACAATGCGCTGTTCATTCATTTAACTCTCTACTTGGCAAGACATTTTTTTCGAAATCATCATTTTTTTGTCCTTGGTATGTGTTTATCTATCGAAGAGGATTTGGTTACTAAAAATACTTTAGCATTTATTACGTAACATATACGGTACATTGCTAAGTTTGTGGTAATCAATATTTTAAAATTTATGTATAATATTTGATACATAGCTAAGCTAACAGATGTTATACATATTTTAATTTTAACAAAAATAGCATATTCCTACGAGAATATATTAACATATTAGTATTGTATCAAGTTTTATTATAAGGTCATTCAAAGATCCGATCTAAATTACTCGGAACTAAAAATATTTATCTCTGTATTAACATGGCAAGTAAGTATAATATTTTGCCAGTTTTTTCTAGCAGATCAGATTATATAATACTGAAAAAACTCCAGATGATTTCCGAACCTAATCATTAAAATTATGTAACAATTAATAATTATATTTGGCAACTACCATAGCAGTGGAAAGTAATATTTTAGTCAAACAATTTTGGAAGTTAACGTATCAAATAATACCCAATGCCAAGAATAGGGTTAATAATTATGAATAGTAATATTAAGTACTGTGAGTGTTTGTAAAGGTTTAATAACTTAGAGTTGTCAGTTTAGACAGTGAAAAGCTCAGATTTTGGTCTTGGTTGTATCTTAACAAATCAATTAGGGTAATTAGACGTAATTAAGTTACAAGAGTTTCTTGGTCTGCAGATACCTTTAAACACTCAATGAATATTTACACCATTAAAGAGTAAACATTACTTCTTATGACCGTAGAAAGTTAAGTATGATATAACAACTGTTGACAACATTTTAATACATAATTGTATTTAACTAATGAAGTGTTAACAGTAAAGCATTTACTTGCCGTTGCTTCTGCTTAGTTGTCTTGGTTAATTACATAATTTAGCGTTCAGATCTGTTGAACTGAGCGCTAAATTAAACTAAGTATATATTTTTTCAGTTTTTACTCTTAGTTTTTATAGATTGAATTAAATATTGAAGTTTTTATGAATTGAACTGTTACGTCAATAGCACTAGTTTTGAATTACAGTAAAATATTTCTAAACTATGTATATGTTTCTTTTATTCATACTTGACTTATTAATTTGTGTTATCAAAACATTTTTTCAGTCTATTTATAAGAAAAGAGCAAAAAGTGTGTATTGTGTGTAGAAATTTTCAAGTTTAAATTCTATTCCTTCTTGCAGATTTCCCTGGTATGTGCTTCGCGTCTACACGTTGCGCGACCGTCGAGCCTGGTAACACCTGGGACCTGGCTCCCTTCTGTGGACGCAGCACCTGCGTCGTCAGCGAAGACACTCCGCCAAGACTGCTCGAGTTGGTGGAAGACTGCGGACCTTTGCCGTTGGCCAACCCTAAATGCAAACTTGATACCGGTAAAAAATTCTATTTGCCAATTTTAACAATTCCGAGGATAGTGAAGAGATGAAATTTTGCACTATTGGGAATTCTTAGAATTACAAAATAGGTATATAATATTAAAAGAACTTAAAAGTTCTAAATAGGCGGTGTTTTTGGAGGAGCATCGACGATTTTTTTCTGATTGAAAATTGTTTTAACTCTACCTTTCGTAATTATGACTTCATACCAGCGATATCTGGTTTAGTCATTTTATTTTTTGTAATTTTTTTTATTGTCTTAAATTATTACTACATAATAATTGTTTTAAAATTGAACCTTTGCATTAAATAAAGGAACTGTAATGAATTTCAGGTGGCAATTTTATAATTATTATTTGATTTATTTCAGACAAGACCAATAAGACCGCGCCGTTCCCCGGCTGCTGTCCGATCTTCACTTGCGAAGAAGGTGCCAAGCTGGAGTACCCTGAACTCCCCACTCCTCCTCCAGAAGAAGAAAAGAAAGAAGAGGAGAAACCCAAAGCTTAAATGAATTTACAAATATTAAAATAAATAAATCCCACAGAATTACAGTAAGCGTATCCGAACGGAAAAGATTAAATTAAAAAAAAAAGTGTTCCATTTCAAATTCAAATCAAGCGCGTTAATTCAATCTGTGGGTATGATTAGATGGTCTCAAAAATTTTTTTGTACCAAATTTATTTTTCTTTGTTATTTTACTAGGCCTTTACAACGGTACTATCTCGGTTGTATTTAAATGTTTGCTAACAATAACGAAATACAATGAACCACTTCCTACTTCCTGTTCATTGAATTTGATTGATTCAAAACTGAGATTCTGTGACAAATAGGACGTTTATTGTCCTAAATGAATGAATGCATTCGTTTTGTTCGTGAAAGAGAATGCTTGCGGCACAATGTGATTGTAAACGATTTTTTAGAAGTTTATCGGCTTTTTTTACTTGAATACCTGCCTAATATAGAATATTTGTGATATTGTATAAAAAAATATAATTATGATAAAAGTTATTCAATAAAAAAATACAAAATTTCTATATCTGACTTTTTTTGGTATCCTCCCTTTTTCTTTTTAAATTTTATGTGTGAGCAATAGACAGATGCCAGATTTGAGTCCAGTCACTATACAGTTTAGTGGTTCGGTGGATTAGCGCCGCGGCCCGCAATCGTTGTCGTTGAGTAACTTTCGCAAAGGTCTGTCACGGGATGGGTGACCAAAAAATTATCGTCTCAAGCTACTCCGTGCTTCGGAAGGTTGAGCCATTGGTCCCGACTGCATTTACAGTCGTTAATATCCTCCAATCCACATTGGGCCAGCGTGGAGGGTTATGGCCCATCCTCTTTAATCATCAATAAGGAAGGCCTTAGCCATTGAAGGGGATATAAGAGAGCCGATTATGATGAAGATAACGAATTTATAGTTTGTCAAAATCACAGATGCACATAAACTATGCAAAATACACTTTGCAGACTTAACACAATCCACAATATAAGTTATATATATTGTGGATTAATTTCACACAACAGCCACAACGGCAACTAAAATAATTAATTATTAACTCAATATTTTATTCGGGAATAATGAATTTCATTAAATACACAATACAGTAATGATGTCCAACACTTTATAATACGCGTATAATATAAACATACATCTAAATTACATTGAAACATATAAATCATTACGAAATTATCATTTATCGAGTAACAACAAAAAAAAAATTTATTCAAAGACCAAACTATTTCATTGTTAAATACGATGTCGTAACTATTATTACATTTTTTTTTAAATAAATACTTGTTCAATGAAATATTTTAATAACATTAAGATACTTATTTTTTTTAAAACTTAACAGTCTATAAATACACTTTAACTTTTTTTTCAACTATAATTATCTAAACACTGATCTTAATTATGATATTACGTAATATATATTTCAAATGTTATTATTTCCTTTTAAAACTATACGATAAAATATAATCAACTATATTGTTAAAATCACAATTCTCCTAATTATAACATTTAGTACATCTATACTGCACAAAATAGACATAGACAGGTTATTAATTTTATATCGTTTGAGCTGTGGAACTATTATCTAATAAGTAACCATTCGACGTTTGAATATATACTAAAATTCTATTTATATATTATTTAAATTGTCGATAATTAGTTGCAAATTAGGTAATAGAGCCACGGAAATATCCGAACGACTATTTAAGCTGTCACATTCCAAAATGGCGGACGACGATAAGCGCGCGAATATTACCGGAATGTTATATAGAATGTATTTATTCATTCTACTTTCATATATCACTCGCTACAGCTTGAAAATCGCTAAGAGAATTAGAGAAAACGTTTGTTTGAATATTAGATTAATTTTGCAAAATGATAACTGTTTATACCACATTCTGAAATTCGAAAATCTTTTATGGTGTAAGCAAGAAGTGAATCTACGGAAAGATAAAATTCACCTACCCTAATGGTCAGCGTTGCCAGACGTCCCGATTTTTAAATCGGTATTAAATGTCCTGCGCGGGACAGGTTTCGTCCCGCTTTAGAGGATAACTCGACCGTGCGTGCAGCGTGCTGAGGAAGCGCAGCCGGGTGTCATGTACAAGTGTGGATTGGCCGCCCGCCCGGCGCATAATGATTCAAAATCCCGACTTGGCAAAAAAAAAACTGGCAACGCTGCTAATGGCTCACCTTCACGGTGCGAGTAACTGGAGAAAGTCAATACACGGCTTTTATGACTGATTTACACGAATTAAGTTCTAACGAAATTAACTAAATTTGAACTATGCTTAAAATGCCTCATACTCGATTACGTGTCCATAATATAATTAGTTGAGTGCTCTTTTGATTACACATATACAAAAACAAATAATGTGAGCCCGTCTCTATACTAAGTCACTATCCACTTAACTTATATCTTGTCTTAAATCAAACGTCTTAAATGACATGGAAAACGAAAAATAGACAAAATTCTAATCAACATGTTTATCACTTTAAATGAAGCCAATATTTAAGTGACCTACTTAACAACTTAATACGTGTAAATGAGCCTTTATGTATGTAGTAAGTAAATGCAGTAAAGCGCCAATTATCCGAACTAAATGTATTCAACTTGTACGTATTTCCCTATCCTTCATGATCCTGCATGAGATTGTACTTTATAGTTTTTTTCCTATTTATCATTAAAGAGACAAATATATTATGTAATGCTCCGTATACTGATGTCTTCTAATAAGATAAGAGAATAGAGGTCGTACTGTATGTATAAGCTCGCATCGGTACAGGCTAAGCGAGACGTTGTATTTATGCAACTGATTCCAGATAGCCAAGATACTAGAACTATACGTATTTATATATACGACCATCATAAAAATTAGACTGTCATGGAAAAATTTCGTCCATTTTTTTTTACAAAATGTGTCCATATATATTTTAGCTGCAGCAAGTGATATTTGAGTTATTCACGTATAAATAATATGCTGTTACCATACATTACAATGAGTAGGTATATAGAAATTTTCTGTTAAAATTTAAATAAAAAATCAACTTGATTTTTATAACAATATTATATTAGATGAGAATATAGCAGTTGTTAACTGACCATCTATCTATATCGCAAAAATAATTAATATACAATTATATTTTATAAATTTATTAGAGTGAAAATGGTGTCAACGTTATTTTGCAAAATATATATTTTTCATTTATATTTGACATAATTCACGAAAATATTCAATATTTCTTTGAGAGCCTTTTTAAAATCAAAAACAAAATTGATATGTAATATTGTTGTACAATATAATTCTTTTCTTTAAAATTAAAAATATTGTATAATAGTAAAAAATTGAAACGTTAAAATAGTTTTTTAAAATATTTTTAAATTATCTTGTGTAGTTTAGGTATATTATTCATAAAATTATAACAAGCAAGAGAGGTAGTATTATCGGAAGAAGTAGTAGCGCGAGAAAAAAATATAACACGTGAAAACATTATTCAAAGCACAAACATCCATCATGACATAAGTGTTATTTATGTATACACCTATATATGTACATTTATTAGAATTATTCCTCTCATTTTGACCTTTCGTTATAATTACATATAACATATATATATATTTAATTTCAAATTTCTCCTAGTACGTCAGGATATGCTTTTGATTGATTTAAAATCGCAAAATTATTGTAACATTACATCTAGAAGCTATAGCATTTAATCTATGTATTTTTAATAACACGAAAATGTATGTAGCAAAAATAAATGAGTAAGCATGCTTTAGAGTTTTCCATTCTTTGATATTTCAAAAATACGTTCGCTTCAAAAAACACGAGGTTAAAAAATATAGTTCTTTTATTATCTTTTTAAAGTTTTTTTTTATGCTACTCTAGAGTACCTGGTTTAAAACCGAGATTTATAGTTTTATAATTTAAAAAACTAAGTGTTAGAGCAACAAACTTATAATAACCATCCAACAAAATCCTTAAGCATTATTTGTAACGAGGCATATCAAACGATCACGTAATACCAAAGTCACCAATAATACAGAGTTTTTAAAACGGATTTCTCTTTATAAAAAAATGATTACATCGATGCTTGTCACGAAAAATGTTGCACTTAGAAACTGGAATATTGAATTGTAAGTAGTCATTATAATAAAACATACGGCCAGATTATAAAACCGGTAATTTCTCCAAAACCGGTTACTGAACGCAACTCTGAACGGTTAAATAGAACAATGCATGTGACAATAAACTTGATGACATCAATTATTTTTAATTTGTATATTCAACAATTTTATATAATTATAACTAGGGTTGACAATTTTTTTTAACATACCTACTAAAGAGTTTATCTTATCGTTGGCATTCTAAAATCGGTTTCTCAAGCTCTGTTAGAGGATGAAAAAGTAAATATTTTCTCTTTTTTTATCATCAATGTTACGTATCTTTTTCTTCTAGAAAACAGACCTCTTTTGCAGCAAATTTACATAAACACATCGAACTCTCTCTAACATCTACATTACAACAAGCTACATGATAAGTACAACTATGTATGCTACGTTTCACTATAAAATCGTTTATAAATGTATACAATATTTTTTTTTACGGGAACTGATGTAATTTTCTTTTTATCGTTTTTAACATCGAACATACTACTTTACGGAAAGCGCCGTAACATGTAACAACAAGCAATTTTGATTCTAATTTATCTTTTTAAATGTTTCAACGAAAATTATGTTTCTATTCTATAGGGGGGATATAGCTATTGCTTTTTTGCGAAAATTGATTAAAATGTATAGTTGTTAAGTTAAAACTTTTATTTGGTATTGTTTATCGTAAAACAACGGCAAAAGTGTTACGTCCAAAGTCCCTTAGCCCAATTCTGTTATCACAATACAAAGTAATAAATATCTTTCGAATCACACTTTTTATTTTCCCGCCTAAAATTGACCAGCCATAATACGCCTTCCATTTTCGTAATACCTTAATTTTTAACAATCAAATTTAGAATGTATTTTTGTTATATATTTAAGCATACGACTTGGAAAGTAATTTAATGTTTTATAAGTAAATGATGCATTTTGACACACATTTTTTTTTAATTTGGTTATTTACTTTACACCTGATGAATTTGGCAGTTTTAATTATTTTTGAATGTAAACGAGTTATTTAGCTTTCAATAAAAGTAAGCAAAAGTATAAAAACCATGTATTTTTTGCGATTATTTCCGTTGATATTTTGAGCATCATTAAAAACATTTAAAACACGAGGATTAAAAATTTAAAATTAACACTCTACACGTTTTGTGCGATGTGAACTCGACATTTTTTTATATTCATTATTTCTACATTTTAACAATTAATTAATTTCGTTAATTCTAACATTTTTTTAATATATACTTAGTAAAATTCTTAACATTGATCATCCAAACTTTAAAAACGTCAATATATAGTTACAAGTATTTAAATGCTTAATAAAATTGAATTCTAAAGTATACTTAATTTAAAACAAACAAAATGATTGAATTCGAAAAGAAACGTAACGGGAAAGAAATTTATTGCCCAGCACGCTTATTTTTTGTAATGATGTGTTAAGGGTCGGCGTATATCTGACGGACTATTAGTAAAGCCTCTAACGGATGTATGCGTTTATATGTGACGGATTTCCTGTCGAGTGTGCAAGCTTGAATGTCCATAATATTTGTCAGTCTTGACGTTCCACACCCGACGACACGAGACAAATCTTCCGTCTGATATCCACTGACCTTAATAGATTTTGACATTTATGAGCTTTGCATTAATTTAAAGTACTGTTGAATCGTCCAACAATGTAACGTCATTCATATAATTTCGTGCGTAAAAGGGCAGCAACCCAATGCCATGAAAATAATTAAAAAAGCAACTCTTTTGTAAAACTGATAGGTAAAATATAAATAACCTTAAAATTTTAGGTGACATATTGTTGAAACATGTATTTAATATACATACATAATTAAAATAATAAAGTTAGAATTCAATTTTATTTTGACATTTGAAGTAAGGAGACAGATCAAAGATAGAGACTTTTGTGGATTCAATAAATGTTAGAGTATTTAGATATGCGCCAAAATAATATAAAAATAAAATTTTGTGATATTTTGTGACTATAATTCTTATGATTAATAATTTAAAATTATTTCAAGTTCTATGCTTCAAAAAATTTATTGTATTAACTATTTCATTGGAAAAAATGTAGGTAATTATTTATTTAATGAGACAAAATAAATTAAAATAAAAAAATAATGAAACGTGCACATTGTCAGTATTTACAAGATAATTAGTAATCGTTTCAATCCGTAAAATAATTTCAGATTAAACGCATTGAATACGATTTGAATTGAAGTCATTGCATTTATAGCGGAGAAGTTAGAGATTCTTTTTTTCTGTGCCATTTTGTTTTTTTTTTGTTAACCGCTCAGTCTTATGACGTTTTGTATTAACTTTTTTTCGTTACTTTTTCTTTAAAAAAATAACAATTTTTCTTTACTCGGGTTTCAAACGATGCCACTGGACGATGGTTTGCCTCGGTTTCGTGATCATATCTTGCCAGTGCTTGGTCTCCGTTGCGCCCGAGCCATTTTTACCTAAAAATTATAAACATCTTTTTTATTTAAGCACTAGCTGACCCGACAGACTTCGTCCTGTCAAAAAGATTTGTAATGTGGCAGTTTTTTTGCCTACGTATTTAAAAAAATTCTCCTGAACAGAACCGTCACCCTGGTGATAGGGCGTTGTGAATAAAAAATAATTAAATAAAACATATATAAGGATTTAAAAGTAAGTAATCGCTTTATTGTTAATCATGTGAATCATAATTATTATTGCAATGTATTAATAGTAATAGTATTAAATATAGAAAAAAGAGATTTTTATGATCATAAAAACACATTACACACAACAGCATTATAAAAGTAAACTATTCGAATTAAAAAAATATATAAACATTCTCAAGGAAAAATGCTGGAAGAATCCATCTACCGGGGTACAGGTAGGAATGGGACTCGAACCCATTCGCGATCCAGGGACTGCTCTAACCAATGAGCTATCTAGGACCCAACAGCTTTGCTACTACAGAGCGTATTTTCATCAATGTTCCGGCAATACATGTAATGACGTGGAAACTCACAGTGGAAACTGATGCATTTTATCTCGCGTGCCGAAACTAATACAAAAGAAACGCGAGTTTCAGAACGCGACATTAAACTCCTCCAACTATGTATTCTGTGCTCCAACGCACACACGCACATTGTTTTGATAGATATGATCTTTGACGTTAGGAACACACCTACATTGCTTAGACAACAGTGAATGCTTGTAATTTAATATGAACTTTATACCATAGCAATAAAGCTCAAATTGACTACGTTTTAGTTACAAATCATTTGTATGGGAAAAAGAAAAGGGCTATTTTTAGGGTTTTTCCAGCAATAATTCTAATTTTTCTCGCCGTAAAAACCATCCTTGAACTTCAACGAACATTTTAAAAAAAGATTTGGCCAAATTGGTCGAGGCGTTGTTGAGTTATGCGCTTACCAACACATTTTGCGATTCATTTTTATATATATAGATAAATATATAGCAAAAAATTTTTTTACATGAAAAGTGTGAATATTAATTTTCCTCGGTATCTAACACTGATAGTTGTACCACAAATAAATGAGATCTGATTCTAATGGAAAATTCAATTTAAAACCTGCAAGACAGAGCAGTGTTAGAAGTTTTTGGTCTGTAGAACTGTCAGTAGGTCCGAGCAACTTTTAAGAATTAAGTCAGTTATTGAAAAGGTGACCAAACTTTACTATCATCAGCATCTCAGTAGATGACTCGTTAAACTGTTGATCCAACTTGGATCTGTGATTTTTAAAATCCACTTATCCCCTCACAGCCAGTTGCAGAATAATTTATGGCAAACTCTATGATATGAAACTATCTAACTCAGAACAACAACCGACATCAACTAAAGCGTATGTTGCTATCAATTCAAGGTACACAAACCAACATAATAGCTCAGACTTGAATGTCTTAAATAAAAGTGAACGAAAAAAAAATTAAATTCCAAGTCAGTCTTATAAAGAATAGTTTCGAAAATGACCCGTTGTATACAAAAATTATAATTCACTTGGGTTTGGTTCAAATTTGATGAAAGATCATTCAAGAGTTTCACGGAAGTATGTTTTCCGACAGATGCTTAGTGATTGAAATCTACAATTTATTAGTTAAAGGACAAAGAAAAGCTGATGACGACTGACCAGCCAATAATATCCGGCCAATGAGCTCATTCCTGCCGATGTTGTCGAAATCCATGACCTGGACATCGAGGGAGCACTCCCTGATCTTCTCCCAGGGCACGTTGAAGGAGAACGAATCGTTGAACACCGGATTCAGCGTACATTTGAAGATGGCCGTCTTGCGTTTCTCGATACGTTTATCTCCAAATTGCAGCCACACTTTTACGTAAGGATCTGAAAGTCAGAGATAAATATTTTTATTGAATATCTTAAAAGATAAATAGTTTCTATTTAACTGTACGAATGTCGTTATATTTCTTGTAAAATACCAAACAATTTGACCATCTCAGGGGATTGGTAACCAGAAGAGTAGGACATCCGAGAAGGCTAAAGTCAAAGGAAGTCACGGCCAAAAGCTATATTATTTAATGTATCATAACTTTTAGCTAAATGAAAGTTAGCAAAGTTGCGAGTTGTAAATACATATTAGTCAGGCGTTAGTTAACTATGTTAAAGTTTACTTTGTTTGAAATTTGAATAACTAAAACTAAATAAATAAATATTAGACAACATCACATACATTGCTCAGATTATCTTATGGTGTATCTAAGACAATGAAAGTACTACAACACCCAGACCCTATATAATATAGAAAAGTTCATATTCTACACTGATACGTCCAAGAATCGAATCCGGGACCTCAGTGATAGCGTCATCTTGATACCGGCGTGCGACCGATTTATGAACTATCTTAAATTTTGGCATAAACTTTGGTAAAATGTATTTTTCATATTGGGAGATTTTAACTCCTTGTAATTATTTTTAAAGGGAAATAACATTTTACCCGTATATTTTTAAAGTGATATGTAAATACATTATATTTTTATTTTATATTACTCTAGGACCATTATACAGAACAAGACTCTTTTACAAATTAGGAATTTTTGGAGAAACCATCAAGATTTATGAAGTAGGATATAACGGAGATGATAAATGAGGCTTCAAGTAACACGCTATCCCGAGATGATTTTCATCTTTCACCCATTAAAAACTGTCTTGAATTATTACAGATGGGTTTATTTTTTAAAATATTCGCTTGCGACTTTTCATTATCTAATTATTCAACAATAAACATTAAGAATATCTTTTCAGTGTAGCATTGTGAATGCAAAATTGATCAAATATAATAAATAAACAGAGTTACTATATCACTTTTTGTTCTTAAGATTAAGTTTTACACATAAATAATTGCGGACCTAATTAAGAACCTTGGGGAAGAAAATTATTAAACTTTTCTAATATATCTGCTTTTATAAATTTCCCGATTTCAGTGTCAGTTAATGTAAACATTAATAGTTTTTAGGAGAATGATTGATTACGATTTATTAGTCTAATAGTGATCCTCTAAATACTTTTGTAATCCTCTAATATATAGGCTACAAGCCTAAAATGTCATTGAGCAAGTAATACCAAAACAGAAATTTTGTCATTATAATAATATCTTGTATTTATACGTTGTCTATATAATAATAGTATAGAATTTACAAATTAAAGTTTTCTCGAGAGTGGTGTCTGTAATAGCCCTTCAGCTGTCTTATAGATCACCATACTCCCAATCCTAGGTATTAACAATATCAAAAATCACATGTAATATGTTCAGATGATTATAAATTAGTAATTTGCCGCTAATAGTAATGTTGTGATTATTTGTATGTACATTATAATCACAATTAATAAATAAAATAGAGCTATCTAAAACTTATTTTATTTCTAAATACTTTCACTTACTTGCTTTTGTCTGATATTGTTTAAATGAATTTGTAGCTTGGATTCGCTTGTTTAATCTTAAATCTTATTAATAGAGCAATAGAGTAAAAAATTCCAGCCGTTAAACTGAAACTAATGGCTCTAATAAATGGTTACCGTTTAAGCGAAACTCTGTTTTGTATTTTCCAATTCTCGGTAAAAATGATATTTACAAGTTTCAATTTATTGCCAAATTAGATTGAAGACTAATGTTTTAAAATTATTGTCACTACAATAAAAAGTATATATTTCTAATTTGTTTTTTTCGCAATGCTGGCTACTGCTTTAACCAGTTGAGCTATTTGAGAACTTATTCTTTCTTCTTTTTTCTCTACGTATATAAAATTTTATTTGAAGGTGATGCATGGAATTAGCTTAAGGACCACTGTTCACGCGGACTGATCTAGGCCTACGTCAGGCCTTCCTCCTCAAAGAATCTTCTCCGAGCTATATTTAACACCTTAATAATACTAATGAATTTCTCAGGCATTTAATATTTGCTAGTGTAGAAATTGCGAGTATTGTATTTAGTCGAAATAAATAAATAGACTAGGTAGAATGGACAGCAATTACAGCAGTTAAACTACGTACGAATGAAAAATGATAGAAGAAAGATATAAAATGAAAAAGTTATAAGGTCAAGGTTATAAATTCTATTAGGGACCATATAGTTTTGTGCAAAGAAAGCGTCCAAATAAGTTGTAAGTGAAAATGAGAAAACTAAGTCATATTTCTAGGGTTTTATAAGTTTTACCGTTTGTAAAAATGGGAATTTATGAAATTTTCTTGATACAAAAAAATCACAATGTTACTATAGGAAAAACTTTAGTCACTGATCCAGGGCATTATTGAGACATTTCACAATAATCATGTTTTTGACACGCTATTTGGTATCCTTTGTCTTTGTCAATCTCATTGACAGACGCGTTTGATTTTGCTTTGCTTCCTTTTTAGTCTGTACGCTCTAATCTTCAGACAAAACATTGAAACTACTAATGGTAGAATTCAAACATAAAGAATAATCAGTAATTATGTGAACAGTCAGGTTGTTTGAATGGCGTAGGTATTATACGAAATTCAATACAAAAGATAAGTGGCTGTTACCTGATTTCCCATTAATGTCTTTGGCCTTCAGATTCCTCGCCTTCAATAGCGTCAGGGTCAGCACACTGTTACTCGGATGATAGCACAATGACGTTAGCAATTCCCCGCATTTGTCCTTGGCTGGGGGTTTAAGCGCCTTCCAAAACGATGGCTTCTCACTCAGATCCACCTGAAAAGGCAAAGACAGTACAAGGCGATTTAATCTTTAATTATTTTTATTGAGTAGTCATATATAAATTGATATATACCGCCTATTTTGAAGGAGTTACAAGACGATGTATCAGGTTACCATAATATTACAAACCAAAATATGAGTATGAATATCGAACTCTACCCTTAATGCATTTAGGTTTAAAAGCAAATTGAGAAATTTCGTAGTTTGTATAACCTGACGTGCTGTTGAGTGTACGTCTTGATATCTTTAGTCTATTTATTGAAATTAATCATATTTCTAAAAAAAAAAAAATTTTTATTTAAATTTCGAACATTTTTCTTTGTTTTAAAAGAAATTCAAAATATGAATACTTATGTATGTTCATTCTCTTACTTCAATTTTAAATCAGTTTGGTTCGACCACGAGTATTAACCTATTTGTAATCAGATATTCAATTTGCAAATTTATACCAAAATGACACCCTGAGCCAATTAACGCTAGCAGTGATACTATATAATTATATTCTTCTTAATTAGATCACCGATTCCGGGCAATTAAAGTAGAAAGGAAATCTAAGTACCAGGTGTCTGACAAAGGAGAAATTACAATATAAACTTTTGCCGAGTTGTTTCAAGCAGGCGTTCACATAAACTCTAAACAAACGGGTGTTTACATTGATTTAGAATGTTCAACAGCTTTCAATGTTTTAACTTTAATTGGTTTATTTAAATATTTGCTTTAACGAATAAAAAAAAGTTTTATAGAATAAACTAGTGGACGCCCGCGACTTCGTCCGCGTGGAAGTCGGTATCCCGTGGGAGTGAGAAGTTTTCCCAGTAAAAAGTACCCTATGTGTTATTCTGATGTATAACCTATATTGCTGTAAAGTTTTATCCAAATCCGTCCAGTAGTTTTTTCGTGAAAGAGTAACAAACATCCATACATCCATACTTACAAACTTTCGCCTTTATAATATTAATAGGATTAAAGAAATAGACATTTTTCGTCTATTTACTTATACCTATAACTTAAAACCATTTATTTCAAAAACAAAAAAATATATATTTGAAAACTCTACAATAAGACATTTTGACTTAATATAATAAAGTACTTAATTTATTTTATTTTCTCATTTTAAAAACTATTTTTAACGTTTGTTTTAGGAATTTTCATAACTGTATGTTTTTTATATAAAAAAATATTTAGAAAATCACAGCATAATAATTGTTTTGAGCTCTTGCGTACTTCGTACCCGTACTTAGCGCAGGCGGTGGGTAATAGCGGTTCTCTTAAGGAAATTCCATCTATAAAGACGACCTTTGTCCCAACAGTGGAAATATTATAAGGCTAATATGACGGTGCTTTGTTTTTTACTATCAAGAGACAAAATAGGAAACTTGATTTAGTAACCAAATAATACATACGCTAAAGCTATTTTCTGACTTGAAGAACGAGAAGTCAATTGTTATCCATATGTAACTTTGAAAGAGATATTGGCTTACCTGGCATAGAGGTAGAAACACTTCACCGATGGAGTCATCTCTTGAAAACCGATCGTAGTCAAAAACGTGGAGATGTAGCACCTAAAATACCAAGAATGTTGTTAGATTTACTCAGTAAAACTCGTCAACAATAAGCAGTCATATATAAAATACAGTTTTAACCAGTTCTCCTGAAATATTTCCCCCAGAACAATAGAGGTACATGTCCAAATATCTACTAGTACAAATTTCAATATATTTTTATCGGGATCTGTCTGTGAAATATTATTACGTAATGTTATTTTTAGTCATTTTTCGGACAGAAGGGTTTAACCATTTTGCAACAACAAAATTCAGAAAATCGGTTATTGCAAATGTAAATCATTTAATACAGTGACCTGTATCTACATACTTGAAGGATATATAATGAATAAGGAGCAGCAATTCATAATCTCTCAAGATTTCGTAATACTACTTTCTGAAACATTAAACTAGTCTGTTGCTGGTTCACATACTTTACATTTATCTTTGCTTATATAACATTTGACATGTCTTTTATATAGAATTACAATAGTATCTAAAGTATCTAAAAACCAAAGAAACGGGATCCTTTGAGGTGAAAGTCTAAATAAAAACTTGCTATGACTCTGAAATATTTCTTAAACAGATTGCTGGAATACTATTATTCCATCTATGTCCGATTTTAAAGGCACATTGCAACGTTCTGTGAACATGAATTTTAATCATGAACACAGATGTTAGAAAGCTTTAAATAATACCTATAAATGTTTTGGAGAATAATGTTCGCAAATCGTAATTTGCTAAAGCGGATTTTAGTTCATAATAAGAATTTACAATATAGCTGTATCGCGTAATGGACGACCATTTTGATGTCATAGTAAATATTACTTTAGTTCTAGAATACAGGAAGATGACTTTACGGTTGTGTCAGTTAAGGGTGTTACAAAGATATAACTGTCCCTATTATACCGGTACATAAATTAGCCCAAAAAATCAAGAAGAATATACATGAACGAGTCGTTGTCGAGCTTGTTTGTTTGTTCCAATACCCTTTGGACACTACCCTTTGGACCTTGTATCCCCGTATCTATTAATGTAATAGTAATGGTGATCGAAAGTAGAGATGAATTGGAGTTATCAGTTTTCATATAAATAGGACAGGAGATGGATTTAATAGCCTTTTACTTTGGTCTACGCTGAACAATGGTCACTATTGTTTTTTCGCACAATTATGATTAGATTCAACTATTGTTTTGGTAATAATCACTGTAAAAAATGGTTTGTTTCATGCGTTTATTATTCTTATCGATAAAAAGACTTCTTGAATGATGGGTGATTGGTAAAAAACGTAGAATTATAAAGAATATTTAGCATTTGATACTGCATGATCACGTTTTTAAATTCCTTTTGTATTCTGTGCCTAAAAATTAGTTTCTTTCGAAGTATCGCTTACCCGACTCTGCAGTTTCTGAATGGGGAAACCTTCAAAGTAAAAGGTCTCGTTCCACCTTGGATTGAGTGTTCTCCTTTTGATCTTGGTCTCCAAGCGATGTTTCTTGTCCGGCAAGAGTGTAACTCTCACGTAAGGATCTGAGGTGCCGCTCAGATCTTTAGCGGGGAGATCCTTACCCTGTGAAAAGATAAGTATGTATACCTTTTACATCTATATGACATATGAGACATTATATTCTGAACTAACTTTCCGCCAGCGGCTTCGCTCGTGCGGAATAGGCTGCTATCGCACTTCGTAGTTCAATCCCTTTAAGACAATTTATCGCAATAAAACTATCCTATTTCTTTTCCCAAGGTAAACTCAGACACAATACACATTAATATAGGTAGTTACTTTGGCATTTATATAAGAATTATTGATTATTTTTTAATTGTTTAATACGCAAAAATGCGCACAGTTATTTCTAAACAAAGACTCATCCTTTTATGAATCTCTAGTACAAGTGACGTAAAATATGGGTTTGGCAAACAAAATATTTCTAAATGTATAAATAATTTAGTATTGTAGAAAATGTGGCGAGAAATAGCATGACAATAACGGTTAATTGTGAGTTATTCTTAACTCCAAATAAATATCACAGGCTCGTGAGACATAGCTCACTGTCTCACTGCTCACTGTCGACTATTAGACTTTCTTCTCGCCAAGTAAATGTCTCAGACTCAAAACGTTTTGCTGACGGTCGACTATGAGTTCTTCTTTCTGAGTTAATATCGCTAACTCGCGAGACATAGCATGATGCTCACGATCAGTTGAGATCTTTTCTTCACGTTGAGTAAATGTCTCGATTCTAGAGACATAACATGACACTCACGGTCGACTGTGATACTATTTTCTCGCCAAATAAATGTATCAGACTCGCGAGACATACAAGTATTCGTACCTCTCGTTTTATTGTTGAAATGTATGCTAATTCAGTTAAAAGCTATGTCTACACCAGTGAGTTTTCACGTCCATCTTGTACTCATACCTTAGAAACCGTAAGGTATACAATGACGCAAGCGCTAAAATTAACTCAATTATAGCGCATTTCACCAACCCTTTAACAGTGATCCTTCAACATTGCATGTGTTTTATGTAGCTTTTTCAAACTGACACTTACTGCTTAGCTGCAAGCACCTCGTCCAATTCGCCTACTAATTAAGGCGTTTGAGATGGCAAGTTTGACACAAGGTGACCGGCAAGTTAAAACGCAAATTGAATTGCATGGTGCATTTCAAACGGCACTGGTGTAGATATAGCATTAACTGCAATATCAATATCCTTTTACTGGTACTTTTAAGTGGTAATTCATAATTGGTCGCACCATAGAGGTTGAATAATATCAAATCTTAATTACTCTTTGAAATCTTTTTGATTGCCATAGATATTTCTCATATTCAAAAGTGCTTGTTAAAAACGGAAACTGATCAAACTATTTTGTATCGACTTTTATAGAAAAACATAAAACCGGAAGAATATAAAAACTCATTCCCTTGATGGACTTTTATGACTTGAGCGGGATGAAGAGTAGCTGACACGATCCGTTTTTCTTTCGTTTTCAGGGAATTAACTTTTAACCAATGATATATGACTAGAGTTCAATATTGGCAATATAAAAGTACGGCATCACCAGAGTTCGGCAATTACTTAAAAATACTCTGCGGAATTAAAATACATAAGTACTCTTACTCAAGACAAATATTTAACGAATTTTATTCAAGAATTTGGATGTAAGGCTTAAAAAAACGAAAACATGTGAATTTTGTTTAAAATGTAAATTGTTTGCATTAACAATCTACGTTGTGCTTATTGTACTAACGAATAGATTATTCGCATATTTCTTTATTCGTACAAACAATATTTGTTTCGTGATCTTACAATCATATTGACGAATTTGTATGTCTTTCATATGAACAGTGTTTTCATTATTATTGTAATGTAAACCATTAGGCTAAAATTATATTTCTTCAACTTTTGCTTGATACTCAAAATTCGAATCTCAAATATTACATTACGGGTATTTGCCTTTTATTCCAGCGGCTCCACCATGTATCTGATGTGATTTGATCAATCTGCCAAAATTAAGCCTTGAATAATCAGTTATAGACAGAGCAAAAGGCGATCTGACTAGACCAATCCTGGTTGGCCTTCTAGTATGTTAACTTACTTCATTTTGACACATCAATCAAAGGAGGATCCGCGGTAGAACCGCAGCGCGCAGGTGAAAGATTACTTTTTTTAGTGTTTATTAAAACTCAAAAATAATCTTCTACTCTGTTAATTTAGCAGTAGTATTAAACGCGGATACCATACCCTGTAAAGCTCCACCGATGTATCTTAAATTGGGAAAGAGCTGGAAATCAGCGGGGCTGTTTCTTTTTTCTGTTACTAACTTAAGGTGCGTATTCGGACATAAAACGTTGTGATCCAAATATCATCCTAGTAGCATAATAAACTACCTCATGTTGAAAATAGGACAATTAAACAAAGGAGATATTAAACATGACATTTAATACGAAACTTTGTTTAGTCTATAGTTCCACGTAAGCAAAGCCGTGATGCAATCTGTAATTGTTAAATGATAGTACGTCCACTTACCTAATAGTAATAGTGAGTTCGCTAAACAGGAGCACGTCAGGTTACTAAAATATGTCAAATACCCGCAATATATTTGAACTCTACTCTGAATAAATGAAGGTTTAAAATCAAGTGGAGTTTGATATATTTGTATAATCTGACGTACTGTTGACTGTACCAAATCATATTTGACCTCTTGAAGTGTTTCATATCTAAAGTATTTCTAAAGTAGTTCGCATATCAATCAGAGCCGGATGAAAATAATTTAAAATTCCTTTCTTTCGCTTCCTTCGACGCATTCCATTCATTCTGGTAGATGTGCTATCACCTCTAAATTATTTCACCGAGAAAATGTGATGTCACAATCAGTGAGCATACCTAACGTAGCGATGGATCCGTGATAAATGATCCCGTATTCATTACGTACCTGGATGATCCTCAATATCAGGGTTGTGTTCTGAAAGTCGTACTCCAAGGAGAAATGAATCTGGCCCACGTTCTCGGACGGCTCCGAGTTGTCGATGTACATATCCACCAGGGATATGGAGCGGTTCTGCAGAAACGCCATCTGTCAGCAATTGTCGACACTTTAAAGTTGTGCCAACAGTGTTGGTACAAAATGTCGGACGGTTCGGTGACGATGATAGCAATGAATATCAAATTTATAAAGAATTAACAGTTTTTAATGTTTTTATTTCCTTAATTATTAATACAATTGCCAAAGTAAGTATTTTTAAAGAGTTTGATCCCCAACTTGTTAACAACTAAGAAACTTGTTGATACACAAATTATTATTACTACACAAATTGAATTAACGCTAACTAGCCATTAAAAAAATATTAAATACGACGATTATTTTATATTCTTTTATCAAACTCATATTTATAAATTCATATTTACCCAAAGAATTTGTCAACCCAATTATTACGTGAGTATATTGGCAAAAATGTTTTTAAACATTTTTGCCCATATTTAAAACATAAAGGTCAAGTACTTTCTGATTGTTAATTTATCTTCCCAATTAAAAACAAAATTATGTATACTAAAATACATATTTTTGTTTAAAATACTTTTTATGTATTTATATTTCGCTAAATAACTTTAGTATTTATAAAGATTTTAATTTTTATGAATTATTATTTGATTTATAGAATCTGTACTCATTGCATCACCGTCACTAAATCGAAAACTTAATCAAAATGTTGTTTTAAACACGCGTGCACTAAAAAAACCTTCTTTAAAATATGAATAAATGGTGTCAATTTCGAATACCATACTTTCTTCAATTACACGATAATTTTATTAAAATAAAGTAAGAGATATTAAATTCAAACACATTTTAATACTGATAAAATGATAGAGGGCTTATCAAAGCCTGGACTTCTATAGTAATACTTTTGTCACTAAATAACTCATATCAACTTAAATGTTTTTGGGGAAACCCATGATTTATGGTAAAGACAAAAACGAAACATTCAAAAATAGAAACCTCTTTGAAAATTTTAGAGAAAAAAAAAATTATATCACTAAAAAGTTTATAATCAAAACTGTGACTTATTCTGTCTCAGTTGACATTTTCATCGTTCTTATCCTGATATTAGCTAGCTATTCTCAGTCCACTTTATGTTCGACGATAGCTTCACACTCGATCGGTATCTTGGAAATGTTTCAAAGGGAAAATTTTCAATTTTTCATTTTCAGATAGCGATGTCGAATGACAATGTAAAATGGCACTCTCACAGAGATTTTCTTTTGCTTCTAAAACATGAAAATAAAGGCTCATGGAATATCGTAATCCCATTTGATATTCTAGAAAGTTTTTGAATTTATCGTTTCTGCATCGAACCAGTTATATTGTATCACACAGTACTGCTAATATAGCATAAAATAGAAGTTCTGATTTGGGGCAATTCAGTGAATAGAGACAGAGCATTAAAAAAAAAATGTGTTGGACCCACATTTAGTATAAAACAATTATAGATTCTTGTTTAACTTTGTATTCCTGAAAAAAGATTAATGCCCGTTTTCGCTAAACTTAAAAGTTGCCCAAATATTAAGGAATCGCCTAAGATAAAACTGCATTCGACCATTGACTAGGAATCATCTTACGGAATTAAGCAGTGTTTAAAATTATGATATTCGTTATGTGGCGCCTTGCGCTAAGTATTTGCGTATGAGAGGGTACCGGATGCGTCACCGGTGGGAGTGGGAGGGGGGACGCGGGCTTCTTGTTCCTAGAGGTTAGCCAAATTCCCGTGTCTCATGTCTTTCAGTGCGGTCCGGAGTGACGGATTTTGGGTGGCAAAAGCATTTACGTATAGGAGAACTTGAGGTGTAGAATCCGAGAAGGTTACCTTCCTGCCTTGTTCTTTTGCTGGCTTCGGTCGGCTGGGGGACTCGGACGGTCGGTTATAAGGGAAGCTGGGGAGTCGTTCTGTGTAAGAAAGAGGGGGAATTTTCCATCTCACACTTCAGCAGCGTGGTTGTCGTGGTTCGGCTGCCGCACACACCGGTCGGTGTGCACGGGACGGTGAAAGAAACTGGTGAATTATGTCGGGTAGGACTTTGATGGTAACCGGGGCTATCGGGGGAGGGATTCGCGAGGGTTCAACTCAGGTGAATCCCTCCATGAGATGGGCGAGGGCTAGGGTTGCACAGTTGCGCATCTCTGGTCTTTGACGGGGGGCAGTCTGGTGGGTTTGCACGCCCCTTGTGGATCCCGCGCAGGGCGAAGCGAGTATGGATAACGCATTTCTCAGTGTCAAAAAAAGGTATATGCGTATATGACAGGTCATAATTACACCAAGGGATAAAAGAAAAAAAAAATTGAAATTAAACTAATCTGCTTAGGCGATTCGTAATATTAGGCGTTTCTGAATAACGCTATGCCTTGTTCTTGGTTAGTGAAAATGGGTGTAACAATAGTATCTAACAACAATTACATTATGTGTATTAAATTCTATAGTTTTAAGTACCTAACAAATGCAAAGATTATAAAATTCAAATCCATTGTTAAAGAATGGCTTATCGAGACATGGCTTAGAGCATGCATGAGATTTTAGATCATAAGTGAAATGTAATTTTAGTTTTTATGTTACAACGTGTATACGCCTGAAAGAGCTAAAAGAAATGACACTCGTGTTTAGAGAACATGCTTATTCCCACCTCTTTTTTGGCCACCTTGTTTTTATGCACAATAGAGTTCTAACTTACTGAATTGATGATTATACTTTTTGTTCGTGTCTTAATTTGGTCCAATGAGTAATGAGTATGAATACATTGGACCAAATTAAGACACGTTGTGGCAATTAAAAGTAATACATTATGGTATTTCAAAATTGACATCAATCATATCATATTTTATGGAATCAAACTTGTGAATATTGTGTTTCTATTTGTTCATTATTAAAATATATATATATAATTTATCTACTAAACACGTAAAGAAAATCCTTATATTTTCTCATTGAGTTAAAATTAAGATATAAAAATTACTTTGCATTTTTTTTACAGCACACTAAATAAATTGTATAAGTCATATTATAAAACGATTACCAAAGTTGGTTTAAAACATTGGTCGCCTAAAGCAAATTGCCAATTACAGAAGAGCAAATGTTGCGACTTATTGTTTTGGTCGTATAATGATCTAAACCTGGTACTAAAGTTGGTCTTCGTTTTATAATAACAGATAGCATGGGTTTTTATCAAAAACGGGATATGAAAAAGGATCATCAATCGATTTATAATACTTACTTGTATATTTAAAAATAATAAATATAAAAATAAAACTTAGAATCAATAAACTAGTAAACTATTGTATTCAAATTAAATTGTACAGCGTATTTAATTCGCCTATAAAAAACAAATTGCTGAAAAAAAAAATGATTAAAAGCTGTTTCATAATTTTAATACTAATTTATAAACCGGTATTATTTAAAAAACTAGGACTTGACACGCTATTTACAATCATGGAAAAGCAATGCTCGAAAGGTTATCAATATCATCCCCGATTGGCTTTTTATACATAGAGCTATTATTACTAGAGTAGGGAAGGTCTGTGAGATTGCGGTAACCTATCAGTTTCTTTATAATCGCGCATATATTAAATACATATTATTATTTCGATTAACCGAATGTCATCAGTTTAAATATTGAAAGATATTTTAATATTTATCAAAATAATCAGACAGATGGATACCAAGATCTTTTCTTTAGTCGAGAATTGTCTCGAGCACCGACTTATGTACTCTAGTATTAAAGCTCAATGGTTTCATATAGTTAATGAGATGACAAATCCAGACAGTTTTTAAGTAGTTACTCGGTATTGCCATCAAAGTTGGAAGCTATAGTTGCCACAGAGTGGATGGCAAAGATTATTACACAGATGTGGCACACACGAATAAAAATCAAATCATACTCCATCTTTTGCAATTATAAAATGAGGACTAAAGTAAGTTAGTTTAAACCATTGGCCGCCATAGCAAATTGTCAATGGCAGAAGAAAAATGTCAAATAGAGATGCATTGACTTATTTTGTTCGGATAATTGTTTAAACCAGGTACTAAAGATGGTCCTCGTTTTATAATAAAACGGGTAAGGTTTGTGAGATTTTCTACACAGATTTTTTGATTTAAAATCGGTGTTCAGTGGCTATATTAGCTGTTTTCCACAAATACATTCACTGTACCATATTATACGATGAAATTAAGAATCCACCAAATTTCGTAAGCATTTCTTTTCCGCAAGTATAATAAGAATATGAAATAATATGAGATTTTACGTAAAAGTATTGAAAACCAGAGTTCTCTCATTTTATTTCACAAACAAGGATGTTACAAAATTGCTGATGAAGAGTGCTAAATAAAGTTTTTTTTCTAAACTGCTGATTTTGTGATGCTTCTAATTTCTAAATATCTATTGCTATTCCATTTTATTGTAGTGTTAATATTGTGTCTCGTAAAAATCTTCTAAAAGTGTAACTAAAAAATATCACACCAGTCAAATGTGGCGATGAGTGAAAAAAACAACTATTATTTGAAAAGCTTTAAAAATATAGAAACCGTGGTAATAATAATTTTAGCATTGTTTAAAAACTATTATTTAAAGACAATTTTTAATCAACTATGAAGCAGGGTCACTCAAAAATCCTAAAGCGTTAATTTAAAAAAAATAACAAATGTGTTAAAACGCTTTGTGAAGCGGAATCACAAATTATTGTTAAGCTTTTCGCTATTATTTTTCTTCTATTCTGTTCATATACAACCTCTTCTACCTACCATTTTTGAAGGAGAAAGCATGGAAAAAGAATCCATAGTTTAGAATATCGCCGATAAAATAAATGAAGAGAAGAACGATAAAAAAAACTAAAGACACATTTACGAAAAGAGGACAGTTCTATTTTTAAAAAACACTTTTATATTTTCACTTATCCGTTTTATATTTCACAAGTCAGCCATTTTGTGAGTCGTTCAGAACAGAACTAATATAAGTTGTGTTTAATTTTCTTATTGTTTGTATTGGATTATGGTATCAAAGGTATTTGTTCTCGTGATGATATGATTTCGATGG